AAGGAAGGAAGGAAGGAAGGAAGGAAGGAAGGAAGGAAGGAAGGAAGCAAGCGAGGGACGAAGGAAGGAAGGACCGACATTTCTGAGGCATGCCTGGCAGTGGCGGTATTGACCCGAGCCGCCGCAATCAGACTAAAGAGCCTGCTTTCCCTGGTCCCCTGTGGCTTAAAACCTGAGCCGAGTCCAGGAGGGCCCAGAATCAGGGCCAGTGTACACGTAGCCTGTGCGGCTGCGCCAGCCGGCGCTCAACAGGAACACAAAGCTGAGCTCGTTGCTCACTGCTCCTTCCCTGGAAGTTCAGTTCTGTGATTCCATGCCGCCAGCCTGCGGGTCTTTCCCTGACCCCCCAGAGAATCACTGTGCTATTGCTCTCTGGCGGTCGAATGCGGTAGTGCAACCTCCGGAAATGCAAGTCCAAGCTGGCTCTTCTGCCCTGGCCTTTCTTCCTTGCCCTGGTCTTGATCAGGCCCAGTTCAAGTTCACAGTTAAATGGCATGGAAAGAGAGAGGAAAACCTTTAAGAACTCTGGTTCAGAATCCACAACTGTTGCTGCATAGTGAGTGGGTGTGCCCCATGAAGGTGTACCACACCTCTGAATGTGCCTCATTTCCAGGCCTATCCTGATACCTTTGCCACCTCCCCAGGTTGTCAGAGCCCTGGCTCAACCATTCAGTCTGAGGTGACTGTTTGCAAGGTCTCTTCCCAACAAGGCAGAGGCGTTGATTTGATTTGATTCCCCCAGTGCGTTTCCCCCACCAGGCTGCCCTTGTCATGCAAATCGGAAGCCACAGGGATGATTCCCAGAGCCCTCAGTGGGACCCCTGTGGCAGCCAGAGTGCCTCCTAGGGAGGGAGAGCCCTGCAGGGAACGGAAGTCAGCAGGAAAGGACCATGGAAGAGCGTGCTGAGAAGGAGGGAGTCTGTTCTTGGCTCTGGCTTCATTCCCCAGGCCTTTCCCACCATTTTCAATCTGGCTGTTCCCGGAGCTATACAATCCAGGTGTAAAGTCTGAGTTTGCAGTGCTCACGTGTGTCTGTAAGACCTCTTCCTGCTGAGGGAAGCGCCATATATAGGAATGGATCTTTTCTGTTGGAAACCAAGGGACCTGAAGGGGCCCTGAGGCAAAGCGGCCCAGTGACTCATCTGCCCTACCTGCGTGTCCCCGGAGTGTGGTCAGAGTGGCTGTCTTACAGTTTCCCATACTCTGGGACTGTGAGGGCTGGAGAGCTTAGAGAGTGAATGCTTGAGAATTCTCAAAGCCTGACGCTGGAGTCTGAAGAGTGTGGTCAGGTCACAGGGTGGCAGAGGGAACAGCGCCATCGGGCTATCACTGCCCTCTGTCCCCAGAGCGCACCCAGTGGTGACTCCAACCTCATAGAGCAACCCTGCCTCCAGTCTTTGGCAGCCAGCAGTCCACTCCATCCTTAAATGTGACCATCCCAGGGATCTTGTGTGTGAGTGAAAACATACACTATTGGTGTTTTTACAAATGACTTATTTCAAAAAGAATACTGTCCTCAGAGATCACCCGTGGTATAACATGGGCCAGATTTTCCTTTCTTTTAACCCAAATAATATTTCATTAGTATACATTCTAAATGTTTTGCTCTTCTTCTCATGGACGCTTGGGTGGTATCCACCTCCCCCCCCCCCCATAGTGGATCATGCTGCTGTAAACAGTTATCCCCGAGACCCTCTCTGCCTTCGGGCCTCTGCAGTGTATACATACCCACAGTGTGCTTTCTGAACCACCCTGTAGGAGTCCTCCAAAGGCTAAAGGCAGAATTCCCATTGCTCACAGCAGCTGTGCCGTTCTGCGCGCCCACCGATGTTGCATCAACATTCCATTGCCCACATCTGCACCAATACTTGCCAATGCACCATTTTTGGGTGGTAGCCATCCTAAGGGTGTGAGGTATGATGTGGTCTGGCAGTTTTGAAGTGTGTGATCCTGTTTGTGCACAAGAGTCCCGTGAGGTAAACTGAGCCAACGTCTTAACTCAGCCTGAGCCACAGGCGCAGGGGAGGAGCCAGCCTGGACTGGCTAAGAAGAGTTTCAAGGTTTTGTTACTGTAACAAATACCCCAGGAATACCTAGAAACACCCTCATAGGCACACCCAGGGGTGTGCTTCTTCTAGACACACCCAGAGGTGAGCTCCTCATAGGCACACCCAGAGGTGTGTTCCTCCTAGACACACCCAGAGGTGTGCTCCTCCTAGACACACCCAGAGGTGAGCTCCTCCTAGACACACCCAGAGGTGAGCTTCTCCTAGACAAACCCAGAAGTGTGCTCCTCCTAGACACACCCAGAGGTGAGCTCCTCCTAGACACACCCAAAGGTGAGCTCTTCATAGACACACCCAGAGGTGTGTTCCTCCTAGACACACCCAGAGGTGGGCTCCTCATAGACACAGTCAGAGATGTACTCTACTGAGGAATATCCTAAATATCTCTACGTCCAATCATGAAGACAGTCGGGATCAACCATCACCTAGCCTTTGTCCAGAGTCAGTTGCCTGCCATGGTCCAAACTGTCTGTTGCTTATGGTATTCAGCTCTACTGCCAGGCAGCTTGAGACTCAGAGAGGAAAAGCCGGTTTCGGTATAGAGACACTGCCTTAGACTCGAGGCCTTCACCAAACCTCTACCTGACTCTCGGTTGTGATCGCCAATCCTCTTGGGCTGTTTCTCATCACTTCCATTTTCTTCAGCCCTTTCCTGCCCTCAACAGATGGCATTCTCCCCCACAGCCCCTTGGAAGTACAGCAGCCCCGGATGGAACACCCTGCACCCCCAGATTCTTACTTCTTCCTTTCCAGGCCTGGACTCATCTTCTGAGCTCAGATTCTATCACATCCTCCTTCCCAGAAACCTCACTCCTTCAGTACGGCCTCCCCATCTCCTCAGTGTTCAGCCCTCCTCTTTCCTAACCTCCCCTCTACACCCCTGGCTTCTGTTGGCCCCCATCACCCCTCCCTTCCTCCATGGAATCAAACTTCTAACAAGCCTCAGTGACAGCTGCTGCCCTCAACAGTCTACTTCAGTCTGGCCGCAGCCTCTTATAGGCCACGCCACGGTTCTCGAGGGTGTGATGCCTAATCTTGATTACCAACTTGACTGGATGTAAGATCACCTAGGAAACACATCTCCGGGAGCATTTCTGAGGATGTTTCCAGAGAAGTTTAACAGAAGAGGTAAGACCTAACCTTGATGTAAGTGACACGGCCCCCCCATAGGCCTGAGTCCTCGAATAAGAGTGGGAAAGGAAGAAGGCAGCTTGAGTACCAGCATTCCTCGCTCTGTCCCCTGGCAGCAGACACGATGTGACCAGATGTCCCTCACCCCCACCCCCACTGCCATGCTTTGTCACCATGATGTATCATATATATTCCTTTGACTAGTCAACCGAAATAAGCCCTTTTCTCTTAAAGCTGCCTTCTGACAAATACTTGCTCTCAGTGACAAAAATAAGTAAGGTGGGCATCCACATCCCCTTGCGACTGAAAGCCTT